AAGACAGAAACCGGAACAAAGCATGATGTTATGTTGTTTAACCAGCAATAAAATCAAATAGTATAAATACAGTTGTAACAAGGCAATAAAGGGAGAAGCTGATTGTCCTGATGCTCTGAATGCTGTCTGCATGTCCTTCATTCTTTGCTGATGCTGTCCACACTTTTGGGGACCCCTGGACCGCTGGGGCTGGACCCCGGCAACTTAGGTTATAAGATGGAATGATACAGTTAATGTAGATACCGTCCAATTTCTCTTTCCTTCACCAATAACTCCTCAGGAGCCTGATTTGGAAAAGAGCTACTATAGCCAGATTCCTTCTTTTGCCCCACCCTGCCATTGGCAGCCTTGTGCCCATTGGATGTACTTAGTTCTTACCTCACACTCAAGCTTCTGGTTTGAACTCACTCAATTTCTTTTTCTTTTTGACCTGTCCTGGTGTTCGATATTTGGAGCCGTATGAAACTCAAGAACCCGCCTTGTGGTTTTATTTCTTATGGTATGTTGGTATTGCAGCAGAATAAAAAATTAACTCACACTGCAATTAAGATGTGCAAATAAATACATAAATAAATGAATATTTTTTCTCTCTTTATTTCCTTTTTCTTTTTTTTCCACTTTTAACAAATGTATCATAAGAACTTGCGATCTTCTAGGGATATAGTGCTGGACCCTAAGGATACAATGGTGAACAAGACATCTAGTTCTTTTTTTTTTTTTTAAATATATCTTTATTGACTTCAGAGAGAGGAAAGGAGAGAGAGAGAAACATCAATGATGAGAGAGTCATTGATCAAGCCCGCAACCCGGGCATGTGCCCTGACCAGGAATCAAACCCCGATCGCCTGGATCCCAGGTCCACACTCAACCGCTGAGCCACGCCCGGCCGGGCGAGACATCTAGTTCTTTACTTCATGCAGCTTTCAATCTAGGGAGCCAGGAATCTCAGTTTTCTCATAAATGAATACTCGTTCCTTCTGTACCTTTGACTAATCCGTAATCATCCTTTCTCTACCATCCTTTCCATCTCATTGTCTTAACTGAAATCTGACTCTGATGTTAGCACTGTTTCAGTCAAGGTCACAGCCAGCCTGTAGGGCTCATTTGACAGTTTTGAAAGACAAACATGTTGGGCTGATTCAGTCCATTGAGCACAGCATATGGAATGATTCTTCTAATGTGTCCCTTCCTTTGTTACGGAAAGACTCAGATCAAACACCGGAGGAGGTTAAGTGATACCTTTATTTCACCAGACGAGGCAGTCTCCAAATTCTGGGCCCCGAACTGTGAACTCAGCGTAGCTTTATGGGACTTTCCTGTGGAACGAAAATAGTGGGTGGAGTTACAGAAGCAAGACATATCCAATTGGGCAAGCAAAAATTCAAAATGGGGGAGCTCATCTAAAATGACTGTAGATTCCTTATCAAAAGAATCCCAAATGTTGGGGCAGGGGCTCCTGGTCGTACACACCAGGGACTTCTACCCAGTTTGCACTCATCAGCCCACCAACAACCAGTTTCCTTTCCCCCAGCAGCATGTAGTAGGCGACCAGCTCTGACAGAGAGTGAAGGACAGTCCCTGAGTAAAATCACTCAGCAGCTGCCCGGGACTCCCAAATTCTCTCACGGGGTTGGTCAGCCACAGGTAGCTTGGGGAATCCCCTCCAAAGTCCAGGGACTTACCAAGGGCTCCCACTTGCTTCTGGCTGGCTCACCAAAACTGTAACTAGAACCCAAGTTCTGCTGCCTGCTGCCACAAAAACCAAGCTTGTGAGACAGATGCTGGAGAAAAAGGAAAACGGTTTTATTTAAGTATTTCATGTGAATCATAAAAATTTAGGGAAAAATTGTTTTCTAGTTTCCTTAAATACACTGAAACTATATTGTTGCACTGAGAATGAGGAGAGAAGCTTTCATTTAAGTATTCATTTACTGGGCATTTATGTGTTAATCACTGTTCTGACTACAATGGACACTGAGATCAAAGACATTTTCCTTTACCTCAGTGCTGCTCTTCTTTCTTCACTCCTTTTTTTTAAAAATATATCTTTATTGATTTCAGAGAAAGGAAAGGAGAGGGAGAGAGAAGAGAGAAACATCAATGATGAGAAAGTCATTGATCAGCTGCCTCTGGCATGCCCCAGACTGGGGATCGAGCCCAAAACCCGGGCATGTGCCCTAACCGGTAATCGAACCCCGATTGCCTGGATCCTAGGTTGACGCTCAACCGCTGAGCCATGCCCGGTCGGGCTTCATTCCTTTAATGCAAGGATAGACCCAGGCCTATTCCAACTCTTCCAAGCATAATTAAGACCAGGACATAACATATAACCAGACTTTATTGTAGGCTTTGGGATATTAAAATAAAACTACAGTGAAATAAAGAAAAACTTTAAACTGGCTACTAAATGTGACTTCTGAATGTCATAGGCTATCCTTCTTTACCCACCCATTTCAGCCCCTGACTTCCTCCTATGTTTTAGGAGCAGCTTACTCTCTCTAACAGGAATGCCTGTGACCATAAACATCATCTTCTATAACTCAGGCTCTCCAACTCCTCTAAGGCCCTGGAGGAACCTGCTTCCTCCAGCTCCAACTTAAATCTAGCTTCCCAAGAAACACCATAGTCTACAAAGATACAACTTCACCCACAAGGATGACAATTTTTTGGAGGGAGATGACAACTTTTGGCAGGTTAGCTTTGTACTGTCTTGAACTTCTCTGCTGCTGAATTGCATCTTGACTTCTTTCTGCAAGTTCACATTGTGCTTTTCCTTACTTTGCTTTTTATAAAAGTCAGATTTTTGGGGGTTTGCCATATATGCCATAAAATTCACCCATTTTACTACACAGTTCTTCGAGTTTTGACAAACACGTCATCATGTTACCACCATCACAATCAAGGGGTAGAGCAGTTCCTTCACCCCCCAAACTCCCTCATGTCCTTTTGAAGTCAACCTTCAGCCCCAGGCACATACTGCTCTGTTTTCTGTGTTTATAATTTGGCCTATTCCATAATGTCATATAAGTGGAATCATACCGAATATAGTCTTTTATATAATTTCTTTCACTTAGCATAATGAAACTGAGATTCATCCATGAATAGACGGTTACTTCTTCCTTTACAATTTAACTATCTTTTCTTGATTTTTTAAAAAATTTTATTATATCTTTATTGATTTCAGAGAGAGGAAAGGAGAGGGAGAGAGACATCAATGATGAGAGAGTTGTCACTGATCGGCTGCTTCCTGCACACCCCCGACTGGGGATCAAGCCCGCAACCGGGGCATGTGCCCTGACTGGGAATCAAACCGCGAACTCCTGGATCCTAGGTCCATGTTCAACCGCTGAGCCACGCCCTGCCGGGCTCTTTTCTTGATTTTGTTGGTTGCACTAACTAGAACCTCCAGAAATATAGCTAAATGTTCTGAGAGTGGATATCCTTGCTTCTCTCAAATCTTAGTCTTTCACCATTGTATTAGTTTGCTAGAGCTGCCATAACAAAGCACCACCACAGAATTTTTTTTTACTTACAATGTTGGAGACTAAAAGTCTAAGACCAAAGTGTCAGTAGGGTTGTTTTTTTCTGAAGCCTCCCTCCTTGGTTTGCAGATGGCTGTACTCTCCCTATGTCTTCACATGGTCTCTTCTCTGTGTCCTAACCTCCTCCTCTTTAGGATACCAGTCTTATTAGATTAGGACCCACCCTAATGACCTCATGTTAATTTAATTATCTCTTTATAGATCCTAGCTATAAAACAGTCACATTGTGAGCACTGGTGGTTAGAATTTCAACAAATAAGTTTGGGGCAGGGCATGATTCAGCCCTTAACAATAATTAAATATGATGTGGACTGCAGGCCTTCCTAGATGCCCTATATCAGGTTGTTAAAATCCCTTTTATTTCTAGTTTGCTTAAAGTTTTTTTTAAAATCATGTTTGAGTATCGAGTTTTGTCAAATGTTTTTCTCCATCTATTTTTGTTTGTTTGTTTAAAATATTACTCTGCACCTATTAAGATGATTATATGTTTCCCTTTTTCTATCTGTTAATATGGTGAATTACATTGATTGATTTTTCAAATTTTAAGCCAAACTTGTATTTCTGGGAATAATCCATTCAGTCATGATATATTATCATTTTTACCTGCTGCCAATTTTTATTTGGAAAAATATAGAATACCTTTGTGGTGCACAGCACACTGAAGATGTGTTTGTGAGTAGAAAGAGATGCTGTAACAAAGCTTAATCTTTATTTACTATAAAATGCAGAATAAACATATTTCTTCGAAATATGAAAACAAATATCAAAAATAACAGTTCAAAGAATTGAAAGTAGTTGGGAAGAGAACTAGAGGGTAAGACTGTTCTTGTTGCCATTTTTGTGGTAACATTTGACCTTTTAAAAGTATGTGCACATTACTTTGGTAGAAGTAAAACAATTTGTGTTAATTTAAAAAAAAAATCCTTTTCATCCAGAGGGAGAATTATGGTTTGTTTTAATTACAGCTCTGATTCAGCTGGGATTTTGTGTTGGTTAAAAGTGTGCAAGTAACTGGAACTGTGTCTGTTTTTCCTCCTGAATAGGTTACAAACTCCCAGAACAATTTATTGTTTAGTCCGATTTCCCCCCATAATTTGTGAATAGTTATTTCTATTAGTTTCTACACTAAGTGCCCTTGCCCGGGCACCACACTGATTTGAACGATAGTGAGAATGAGTCTACCGTGGTGGAGGTCAAAGAAAAAACAATAGGATGCGCAAAGGTTCAGGCGTATAAAAGCAGGTGGCTGGTAAATGCATCGTTTGGAGGAATCTGAGAGTAAAGACTGTTGAAGGCGCAACAGAAAGTCCTTTCGAGAGCAATTACTCCACCTCGCAAGGGGAAACCCGTGGGTGACCCAAGCGCCCAGCACCAAGCTGAGCCGGCCGAGCCCCCGGCGCCGCGCAGGCGCGGGAGGGGGCTGGTGGTGGCCCTGGGCGGGGCGAACGT